TTTTTTTTGCAATATTGATTGGTGACATGCTCTTATTATCTGCTTAGCTCATGAGTGTATGTGTAGATACATATATATGTGTGTGTGTGTGTGTATTTCAACAGTAGAATAGGTCAAATCGATCGATCATTGATCTTCGTTCACACCTCATTCACATGCAGAGCACTAAACAACTGACACGAAGCTATCAACAGACGAAACGGTTAGTAGTAGCAATAGCAATGATATTAGTAGTGACAACAGCACAAGTTGATGATAATACTATCATTTTCCTCTATCTATTCGTGGCTCGATGTCTCTCTCGAGTTTTCACGTGCAGACGAGGAAAAGAAAATCTTTTTGTGATCAGTAATTAGACAGACTAGATTTTTTATTCTGTGTATAGATGCAGAACACCAAAAAAAAATAAAAGAAAAAAAAGAAACTTGCTTGTCTCTGGTGCCGCTAAATAAATTAAGCATAAATAAAAAAATAAATTAATCAAAAAGCATATATATATATATTGTTTACAAAAGAAAGCAGAAGAAAAAAAGATTTATAAACATAAACAAACCTGATAGACGTTTCCATTTAATGAATGCTAAAATAATGGATAAAAAAAATCGATAGTTTATATAATAATCATTACCAATGTTTTATTCTTACCTTTTGTCCAAGGTAAAAGTGGACTTCGTTTTTTATCTTTTTTTTCATCGTCTTTTAATTTTGTCTAGGAAAATAAAAAAAAAACGTATTTTTAATGAAATAAATAAGACGTGTTTTTTTTTAATACGAGAGAATCAAGTGTTTTTGATCGATCTTCATTAATGGATGAGATTGCATGATGATGATGATGGTGATGATGATGATGATGATGATGATATTGTTGTTGTGGCTGTTGTTTTGAGTATGGTATAGATTTACCTTCCATTTCACTCATAATACAATCTTTATACATATTTGATTTAAGAAATCTTGTATATGAATCATATTTCATTAATTGGAATATCTGAGATTGAGCCTTTTCAAATATATGAGCATTAGGCTTATTTAATAAAGATTGTTGACATTCTTGTCGTGTTCTACTATCGATATTAATTGGACAGGAACCATCATCTGTGTCATGTAAATAAGTTGCCCAAATTAAACTGGCTTTATGACGAATCTTAAAAAAGAAAAAAAATTTAAATTTATGTTATTATATATTTGTTGGTAATGAAATAAAACCTCTTCTGAATCGGATAATTTTTTAAATTGTTCGCATGCAATCCAAAATTGAATATTTTCTTGACTAAATTCTTTTTTAAGAAATTCAGTAAATACATATAAACCCATATCATCATTGAGCAATTTTTCAAAGCCAACAGCCCATGAAGCCACACGACCTATTTCTAAAAGTTTATTTGTTGTTTCAGCATCATCTTGTTCACATTGTTTATGAACACTTGTTAAAGAATTTGATATAGATAAACGTGTTGCTGATAAATCTCCAGTTTCTTCATCAGTAACTGCAAGTGACTAAATAAACATGAAGAAAAAGAAAATTAATTGATTGAATAAGATTAAGTATCATCATTGAGTTGATCTTTTATACCTTAGCCTTAATAAACTTTTGTAAAGGACGATGTGATGTTATCTTTGACGACAGCATGACTTATTATGGTAGTTAAGCTCGAACGTTATGTGTAAGAAGAGATAGACACCAAAGAGTGGAAAAGAGAAGAAAAAGGGAGTATGGGAAATTGAACACGACAAGAGAAGAGAGACCTTGTGTATTCTCTCTTCGTGTCTCGTTTTTTGTTTTAGTTTTAGTAACAAAATGAGGTTTGCGTAAATCAAGTCTCGTTTCTCTCGTTTTTTTTCTTTATCATTTTACTATGCTTTCGTTAGATGCGTTCTCCCTCTCTCTCTCTCTCTGAATGTTGCTAGCGGCAGTGATAAATATTATTCTTGTTAAGCAGTAGTTGACGTGTTTTTCCTGTCATAGAAGTGTGCGTAGCGCATCTATGTAAAAAGAAAAAAAGCGAGAGAACAACGACTGTCTCAATATGTCATTTCTTCTCTTCCTTTTCTTTGACACGAATAAAAATCGAACCAGCTAAATATATCTTTCTGTATTTTATATCATCTATTAGACGTTATTAAAGTTAAAAGAAAAAAAAATATATATATATATATATATAAACGCCTACATTTCTATAGCCAGACAAAACTTACATATAAACTGAATCACTACTTTGATGCAACCGGAATAAGTGTCATCGTCCTTTTCCTTTTCTTATGATAATAAGCAAATGTGACTTGTTCTTAGTAAAATTAAGATTCTATTTTAACTTTTGTTTTTTTTTCTTCTTCAAAATTTTTTTTCATAAAATACAAAAGATGTAATCAATATGAAGTTAATTTAGGTACTCATCATCATATTCCAACACTTATCTCATCATCCTCATTACTAGTCTTTTGATCTTTTGATATACACAAGGCTCTTATCTATTTTTTTTTTGCCTTAGCCTTACGATCGTAACCTCGAGATTTCAACAACAAGAAATTCTCAAGAGATCGACACTATATTCTTCTCTTTTTTCATACGTTGTTCGTTTATATAGTTAATATCGATATGATATTATATTTGATAGACGAAGAACAAGTGAGAGAGAAAAAAAATGCCAATGATAAGTATTATGCATTGCATGTAAAAGAAAATCAAAAATAGAAAGAAACAATTTTAAAGTCGGATGTCAAAACTATTAGTATGATCATCATTCTTTTGTATGTCTATTCTCTCATATTTTACGATTTCATTTTTTTGTATGATAACGTCAAAATAGAAGAAAAAAAAACAGCTGACACCATCATGATTATGAAGGAAAAAAACAAAGAAAAAGAAAAATATATTAAATATTTGTTATATAAAATAGAACGATAGAAAATAAAACGGCTTTACCTAATCATTCAAGACGATTATCTTAAAATACTTCTAAATCGTCTTGGGATTTGTTTTTCTAACATCCTTTATTTAAGCTGATCGATATATCTTAAAAAACAATGGTTATATCTCTAGAGGAATTTTTAAGATAGATTCAATAAAAAAAAAAAGAACTTCTTTATTTTCGGATAGATATATATATATATATGTCTATATTGTTATTCCATTAGAGATTTTAATCTCTAAAGAAAAAGAATAAATCGAACTTTATTGATAATAAAAAAAACTACACGTCGAATGAATTTAATTTATCTGTATCTCATGAGAAGAATTTATTTGTTTGATAACTATTGTACATACCAATGGTTTTGGAAATTTATAATCATTGACACTCGACTGACGACGAAAATCCGTAAGAAAATTTCGAATAAATAAACGATGCTGCTGGTGATGATGACGACGATGTTCACCACTCTCACTAGTACTATTACTACGCATGATTCTCTTCTGAACATGAGATAAATATTATACAAAAAGTAAAGATTTTATTAACGTCGTTTGTTGTTGTTGCTCTTATAATTAATATTGTCGTAGTAATAGTGATTGATTGTTATTTGCGAATATAGATATATATATATATATTATCGAGATATATAGATATATGTGTGTGAATGTGAAGCAAAAAAAGAAAGAAAGAGAGAAAAAGAAAGAAAGTAACTCCGCCTTCGATTCGCTACTATGTGTTGTTGACTAACTGAGTTCCTTGCTCTTATAATCCTTAAAAGCTCAGTGGCACGCAATGGCAAGACGATGAATCCTTCTTCCTTCTTTCTTCGTCCTCGCCTTGTATTATTCGTACGCTACAAATATTTTCCATCGTGTTAGTGTGCGCGAGTCTCTTCATGAGTCCATATAAATGGATTCAAGGCCAAGACGGACGCATGATAGTGCGCATGGAATCAATAATTGAGTCTCATCGATTGACAATAGCAACCAAAAAGAAAAATAAGAAAGTAGCAAAAATAACACAATGCTTCATTCATTTTCTCTTTTGATCACATCGATTAGATCTTACTACATATATTATTAAATATGAATAGAATTTCAATCTTAATTATAAGAATAGATTAACTATTTTCAATTGATAATAGAATATTTAATATTTACTTATATAGAAGAAATAACAAGTCAAATATATTGTAACATAGTATAATAATATTTAGTCGAAAGAAGAAGAAAAAAAAAGGATTTAAGATATATAGACATGAACGAAAGTATATAGGAAGAAAAATACTACTACATCATGTGCAGTGTGTCGGAAGTGATCGATTCTAAATGATGTGATGTTGAGTATGCATGCATGCAAACTCATAAAAAAAAACAAGTGTAAAAGGAAAGACAAAACTTTATTCCCTTGATTATCGACAAAGTATCAAGGCTTTGGCAAAAAAAAGGAAAGACAAGTAAAAAAAATGATTAAATAACTAATCCTTGCACTTCGTTAACCTATGATCATTAGTATTATAAATGTTAAATGAAAAGATTAAACTCATTTAAGAAATAAAAATAATACTATATTCTTGCTTCATTGCATTTTTATGATATTAATTATATATGCTTGTTTTCTTTTTTACGAAACTGATAATTCTTACAAAGATGATGATGAACAACAATGTAAACTACCTGAGCTTATTGAAATCCTATAAATTCTAATTTCCAAAAAATTCTAGCTGATGACCTTTTTACATATTAGTTAAAACTTATAATCAGATGAGTACCATCGGATCTAATATAAGAAGAACTACGATAGCAATCCATTTTTATCTCATGTATATATATATATATATATTTGTTTAATATAGATCAGACATAAATCTGGTCACGACTATCTAATAGGATCACGAACTTTTTTTTTTCTCTGTCATTTGTTATTATTCAAGTAAAAATGAAATGTTCCAATGAAACAAAGAAGCAAATAAAAGTAAGAAACTAATCAAGCAAAATATTCTATTAATAAGAATATGATTTTTATATTTAAAAAACTTTCTTTCTTTTTTTTTTTGGATTATTATGTTTTCATCTTCTGCCTGATCAGAAAAAAATTTGTATCTTTTTTTTTCTATATTCGATGTTTTCCGCATCTATGAAAATCTTTATGCAAATATATCTAGTTTTGTTTTTCTTTGATCGATGAATACGAATATATTAAAAACTGTTTTCTGTTTACGTTAAAAAAGAAGAAAAATTTAACGATATGAAAGTCAAGTTATTTTCTTATACTAATCAAACCTGAGCAGCATGACTTGGTAATGGTGTATAACAAGAAAGTCGATGGGTTGTTCGAGCACAATCAGCCATAAATTCACCCAATGTTTTGATTGTTGATATGGACATGATTATAATATTTAAATAAAAATGTTTTAATCGATAAATAATAACAATATAAACATAGATTTCTATTTGTAATTTTCTTTGTTGAAACTCAATGTTCATAGAATGTCAAAGAGAATATGCGCGTGTGCGCATATTTTATAATAACATTTTGTTTATTGCCGATGTCGAATGATGACAAACGAGAAACATCGGTTAAGATAGTTGTAGACGTCGTGCGGAAAAGAGTGATGAGAGTGAGCGAGAGAGTCTTATTAATTCTAATCATATTAGAAAAGAAGAGAGGAGAAGGCCGGACAACAGATACAGATAGTCAAATCATCACATTTCATCACGACAACAACGAAGATTGACAGTCTTTTTTTCTTCTTTAGACATGAAGCTGTGTATTGACGCATGCCATGTATATACTACTAAAGTCTCCTTCTCATCATTAAACAATATTCGATTCTCGCGCGCATTTGATCAGATAGAATTATAGATAGAATAATGAACAAATCTTCTATTTTCAAATACATTACGAAGCATGGGCTAAAAACATTCATGTTTCTTCCAATAAAATAAACAAGTATATTAACACAGAAAAAATGAATTTCTAATTAGGTAGTATAATCACAACGAAATAAGAAACAAATTTTCATTTTTTTTTTTTTTTATAAAATTTGATCTACGGAAATATAATTCTATCTACTTACATAATGAAAAATATTATAACAATCTTCAGACATTTAATATATATGTATTCATTAATCTGTCATCGTATTTCTTTTTCTATTCATTATGAATTTATTAATTCCCTCTTGAAAATTTTCCTCTTTGTCTATTCATGCTTAATGAAATGACAAATTCAGATTAAGAAAAATATTTTTCTTATCAAAAATATACGATTTTCCCATTTATTGCCTATAGGTAAAAAATAAGTTTATTTATTTTTCTCTCTTTGTTTTTTTATAAAAGGTAATAAAAACAAAGATCGAGCCTTAATCTGAAACAAAAAAATTTATCATTCTTCTCTCAAATAACAAACATATTACCTGGGCGGAAAAAGAAAAACAAAACCAATTTGTACGTTAATGAATCATGTTTATATATCCTTTGAGAATACATTTATTTCTAAGTAATAATCTTTTTTGTTGTTTTAATAAGAATTTTATTCAAAACAAAACTTCACCGGTAATGTTTTTTTTTTTGATATAAAATAATGATGATTTGGCATATTATTTTTCTTTTTTTTTTTTTTGAATTCAATTATAATTAATTGAATTATTTTTATTAAATATTCTTCAAAGAAAATTCTATAAAAAGTGACAATAAATTAACAAGTTTATTATTAAATTTATTTCTCTAGTTCTCATATAAAGAAAATATATTTAACTATTTTATTAATAAGATTCATTTTTTTCAACCGAATAATACTTCATATTTTCAAAACAAAAAAAAATCAGTCATAGATTGATTCATCATATATCTTATCATACGTATATTTGTATATATTAATTGATAATGACAGTTTAGTAAATATAATATATTAAAATGTTCTGTAAGACATAAACATATATATATTATATATCACGAAAACATGATAATTCTTATAGAACGATGACAAGAATTATTTAATATAAAAATCACTGAAGTATTCATAGTTTTGAGATTTTTCTGTTTCTAATCATTAAAAAATAACTGGCGTTTTTTACAATATTCAATGCATGTTAGAAAAATATGTTGAATCGATGATTATTACTTAGATGACACTTGTTTTTGATATATATTTTACTGCAATAGCACATTATAAGAATGGTTAGTAATGAAAAAAATAAATTAGAGGCATTCATACTCAAATTATATGTAGACACATCAATTCGTCTAATAATACAAAAGTAAATGGTAGGAAAAATAGTACTTATGTTACTTATATGATCAACTTTGTTGTTGAATCAACAACAAAAAAAATCTAATTATTTTAATTTATATAGTAGTTTTATAAAGCGCATTTTAATTTTTACACCTGCGGACCGATAACGAGAGAAAAAAAATCAAAACTTAAACTTCACTGATTAATAGAATTGATAACATCTTTTCCAAACAAATAAATCATCGAAGTTTATTAGAAAATTCAATTGTTTCTCCTTTGATTATTTAATACTATAGACATTTTGGATGATAGCAATCATTTACTTGCAATCATGTCCCTTCCTCAAGGCGATTAACCGGAATAAACAATTCATCATCAATATTGGCTAGCTGTTACTGGGGTAGCATCGCTTGATTTATTTCTTGTTTTCTTTTACTATAGTCTCATTCGTTATTTGGTATAATTTCCGAGTGTTTTGCTTCGTTAAAGAAGAAGATTCTTAGCTAAGTTGATCTTAACACATTCAACATCTGCTGTCGATTTAAGGAAGCAATTCTATTATATGAGTATACAAAAAATACGCAGGGAATCTAATAATAAAGTGTTATTGATATGTACGTATATTTAACACTTTACAAATATAAACTTTCTTCAAATATATAGTATTGACGTCACACCAAATATGAACTAATATTTTCTTTTTTGTTTTTATTATACTTCAAATATTTTAACATAATATATATATTTATCTAAAGAATATAAAATCTTTTTCATCTATATGATGTCATCATCATCATTATTATCATACATTTGCTTGAAAAAACATACAAATGCATGTCTCTTAGGCAAAAGAGATATCTAATATTTCTCTATCTTTCTCGCTTTCTATATGTCATTGGCCAACAGGCAGACTAATTATATTTTGTCACACATACCATTGTTGAAGTAGTAAAACTTGCTTTACGTAATTGAGAATTTCGACGTTGATGATGATGATTAACAATTGAAGTACGACGTTGGTGAATACCAACACCAGAAATATTCATATTTGCTGTATTAGCTATAGATAAACGATTAGGATCAACATCTAATAAACGTCGATTAGTAATTGTTGCTGTTGCTGTTGTTGTTACTGATGATGTTGAAGTGATTGTCAATGAATTAAATGCGGTATCAAGACGCAATGAAGACATAATGATATCAATAGCAAAAATATAATCAGTAAGAATAAAGAAAATAGAAAGACGTTTATAATCAATGGAAAAATTAAAAATTAAAAACGAATAAATTTTTTTAATAAGTTTGTTTTCATGGTTATTGGCAACAACTACTCATCATATCATAGACAGATTGACACATGTACAAAAGGACGATAGATCAGGAGAAATTGCGAAAACGATAGGTTTTGTATATAATAGAAGAAGAGAGAGAGAAGAAAATTTATTTAGTATCGTTGCTTTGAAGAAAAAACATAATGGTGCGTGCTTTTCTAGACGGAAAGAAATCAGAGAGGGAGGCAGAGGGAGAGACAGAGAAGAAAAGCGAGAAATGAAGGCTTTCTGCGCCTGTCGATCCGTTATTGAAACGAATACAATAATCATTGATGATGATGATGGGAGAGTATGCTTCCTCTCTCTCTCTCTGTCTCTCCCCCCCTTCCCATATCCCGTATACCAGCTCCCTCTCCTTCCCTCTCTCTCTCTCGTGTTCCTCCGGTGTCGAGCATTGCTTGCATTCTCGACTGCCATTTTACATGCATAAAGAAACGACGCTAACAACACGGATGTTTCTCTTTTTTTTGCTCAACAACGAACGATCGTCTGTTGTTAACGTTCTCATCAGTGTCATTATCTCAATCTCTTTCTTCTTCTTCTTCTTCTTTTTCGGTAATAGTTTTCGGAGAAGAAAAAAAGAAGAAACACACAAAGAACGATGAAACACAAAAATGATTCCCAATCGAATGTCAACTCGAATTAGATCGTTGTTGGTTTAATTAACGAGATCTCTGCATTTTTTTTCCGTTCACATCTTAAGAATCAGATTTGACAAAGAAACACAGACAAATATAGTCCAAGTAACAACAAAGATGATGATCACTACACATATAGTTTTGAATAATTCGATAAGTTTTTTATTATTTCTTCTCTTGTGTCTCTCTCTCTCTCTCTTTTTATGAAGCAACAACATACACCATCTGTTGTTAGTATATTACGAAGTAAAGACAAGTGATTCGATTTCTATTTTCTTAATCGCTACTTAATCAATAGTATGCATCTTATCTTTCTCTAAATCTTTTTTCTTATTGTTTGATGATTAATTTTATCTTCCTAAAAGTATTATCATTTCATGGTGATGATCGTCAAAGATCTTCGCTTTCTTAGTTTTTTGCTTCCGACAAATCGATTACTTTTTGCTTATATACTACATAGGAATTCCACGTCATGTTATAAAGAGCAACATAAGAATATTGTTGTTGTTGTTGTTGTTCTTCTTCTTCTTTTCCTTTCTTTTGGTGTTTATAACAAAATAGACAAAAAAAGACGACATACAACATAGATTATACGACACTCTATCTGTTTTACCCTATATAGTTGATTACAATTGCTCTTTTATTGACACACATATGTATATTATAAAAAAGATTCTATTTATGTTAATGTAATGAGAAATATTTTAATTAAAATAACAAAACACAAGAAAATAAACTTCAAATCAAAATCAATCTTAAAAAAAAACACTATATTACTTATCGTTTTACTGTTAAAAGAAATTTCTGTTGTTTTTAATTTTCTTGTAAAATGTTTAACTCATAAAAACATCAACATTGATTAATATCAGGAAATATTATCATGAATAATACACAACTTAATTAAATATTATTGTAAAAACATGTTATTGAATAAATGATAAAGTAGTTTTAGTAGAAAGAAAAGCTTTTTATTTCTTGTTGTTTATTCTCAAATGCATTGAGGAAGAAAATACACATTAGACTTTTTTTCACCTATCTGAACAAAATCGTCTGTTAACTCATGTATGATTGATTCATTAAGATTTATCATATTTCTTGTTTTTTTTACAAAACTCAATAATACGCACATATTAAAAATAGATCTTTTTTCTTTTATTTCTCTCAAACAAATATTTGTTCAACTATAAAAATCATTATATCATCATTGAACAATAATGAGGAATAGAATTTCATAATTTTATGGTAAATATCGATCATTAAATGACAAAACAGAAAAAAAAAAGTTTTCTTTACCTCATGTGAACGACTAATATCTCGTTTTTGAAGAAATTGTTTTCGTTTTACCATACCCAATTTGCCAACAGCTTTTAATTCC